GGAAGACTGAGGCAGGAGAATTCCTTGAGCTCAGGAGTTTGAAGTTGCAGTGAGCTATGATGATTCCACTGTATACCTGGGGCAACAGAGCAAGATTCTCTCTCTCTCTCTCAAAAAAAAAAAAAAAATCAGGAGAATTTATATATTATATATAGGTGACATCATGGATGATTTCCAAGTTGATTACTTAAAATTAAAATCCCAAGGTCCTTTTAAATCAACACTATTGATAATTGTCAGTATCCAAATAACTCTGATTTAGAAGTTCCCTATAAATCTGCCTATTGATCTGCTTATATCATCATTGGAATTGTACATCTATCCCAGCTCTACCCCTGCTTTCTAACCTTAGGCAAGTCATATAACTTCTCTGTGCCTCAAATTCCTCATCTAAGGAAAGTGCTTGGAAATGTGCTTGGCACTTAGTTATCTATAATATCATCATCATCATTATCATTAAACACAATAATTATAACATGTTATAATGTATTATATTTAGAAGTAGAGTATTTGCATTTCATTGTAGAGCTATAAAATGACAACATGTTCATCTTAAGAACTGTTAGGTAAAGAGTGGAATACAAATTTAGGATAAATACTGTATTAGATGCTTAAAAGGGAAGTTTAGAGGGGAAAAAAACCCAGGTTTTTCTTCCTTTGAAATAAATGTTTCCCCAGCATCGCAGAGTTCATAAGCTATTCTGAAACACACTTTTTAATTTGGAAGTGCTAATGTGCTAGCAGTATGTTTATTCCCAAATAAAAGAAACTTCAGAAATAAAAGCTCACTTGAGGGAGAAACAAGCAAATTTTGCTTTAAAGTTTATATCCATATTTAGAGTTATCTATATTTAACTATAGCAGATAATCTATATGCCTTTGGTTGTATATTTAGACCTAATTCTGTTATGATATATATGTATTACATATATATTTCCAGCAATGACATTTAAAACTCAAGAGTTCAGATTTTAAGCTAAATTCTCCCATCTCTGCCTACAAGACTGACGACGTGAGATTAGCGCATATGTGTGCATGCAACACACACACACACACACACACAACATCAACTGTCTTGACTACCATGTTTCCCCCAAAATAAGACCTACCCATAAAATAAGCCCTAGCAGGATTTCTAAGCATTTGCCCAATATAAGCCCTACCCCAAAAATAAGTCCTAGTGATGAGCGTGGCTACTCAGCATATCTGCATAACCCATGCATTTCGTGGCAGAGCGGTAAAGACTACAAGCAGCCCTTCTCATCTGCCCCATGAGAGCTCTATTGCTCAACATGAGAGATTGGGGCCAATGGTTCTAAAGGAAATAGAGTTGTAAGAAATTCAGGATGGAATTCAGGGTTTGGAGAGTTATGATGATGTTCAAGAAGATGACGACTTAACTATATTTGAATAAATGTAGATTGTTGTGCCATACTTAAAAAAATAACACATCCCCTGAAAATAAGCCCTAGGGTGTCTTCTTGAAGAAAAATAAATATAAGACCCTGCCTTATTTTCAGGGAAACACGGTAGTTGATTTTCTGTAGGACAAATGTCACCAAATTATATTCAAAGCCCATATAAAGCACAGTATTTATATTTAAAAAAATAATTTCTCCCAATATGCCTCCTTATTTGGTTATGTTTGTCACCTCTTTGGCATGTCCTTTTCCATGTATTAGAAATTTAACTTAAAGGAAGACAAATTAAAAAAACTCAGGAAGTATTAAACTAGTAAAAAGGGGCAAATGCAGTATGGGAGTGTAGGTAACTAACTGTGATACAAGCACTAAGGTCTGGGAATGTATTTGTAGATCAGGAAGAAGGGTTGCACTATGGCAGGATCAAGTATGGTAAAATAAACCACCCAATAAGACTCAGTCTACAAATACCAGGCTTAGCAGAGGTTTATGAAGACAAGTTAAATTCACCTCATCATATTGGGCCTTTAAAAGCTGTGCAGAGTCCAGCGAGATAGGCAATATCACTGCACTATTTAGTAGAACAAAAGGGAAAGTGATAGCATCTCTCTTTTGGGAATTTCATTAAAGAGCATGAAAATGACATCACCACTCCTGAACAGTGAAGGTATTAATATATTCTGATTTCAATTGGGGAAGAAGGTCCCATAGATCACTATACAAATAGAGGCTTAGTACCATCTCTGCCCTATGTAAATTTCCCTAGTTAACAACAACTGCCTTATATCTCTTTTGATCTCTATTTAGAGGGTGGCCAATTATCTTTCTATCCCCATCTTTAGTGTGGGTGTGATCATCTTGTTCTAGACTCAAGGTAATTTTTTTCCCATCCAATAAGCACTGTAGTTGGATTAGAGAACGTGAACATTGGCAGGTTGTAGCAGGAATTTTCATTCAGGGCAAAATGGTATTAATAGCAATTAAACCATTTTATCCTTCTTCCTTAAGACCTGAAATCTAATGTGTACCTTCTCCACTAAGAGGGCACCTGCAGAGCTGGGCAGAAGCAGCCTAAAGAATTGACTTAGCAAAAGGTCTGGAAAAGTCAAAGTCAAATCATGAGACTGCATGGGGACAACTTTAAATCTTTACTATCAACAGTGTGCCCCTCTGGGTGGAGGAGAAGGAAAGTATTAGTATCATATCTTTTTATGTTTGTTTTTGCAGATGAGAGAAACATTAAAATTACATTAAAATGTAAATGATGTTAGAATACGAAGGAATCTTATTGATGATCTACAATGAGAAGAACCACTAATGTGGCCTCATAAGGACAGTCTTATTTTACATCTCTTTTTACAGAGTTATTGTCAATAGCTTCCCCCTTCCATTCTCAAAAAGATGGTAAATTATACAGATATGCTATTTATAAAAAATGTCCACCTTTTACCAACAGGGAACCCATTTAGTTAAGTAACTTTTCTACATTCAAATAACCAAAATGGAACTGTGAGCTCTTTGAGGGTAGGACTATGTCTTTTCATTTCTCCATGTCTGACCCAGGTATAAAGGTTGAATGCATGATTAACTGCTAAATTCCTAGGCCATTACTTTGTTCACTTCATCATGCTACCCTCTCTGAGTACTGATAATTCTATAGAAAGAGTGCCAGGGAACCTATGGATTACATGAAAGGGCAATAAAACAACTTCACTACATTTGAACTGCCTAAGTCATTGCAATTTATAGATGAGAGAAAAAAAGATGCTTTGAATGACTCTGCAAATTATAGTTTACTAGTATCTCTACCCCAAAGAAAAAGTCGCTCATCCTTCACATCTGCTATAAGTCTATTTTTAGCTGCATGCAGTGGGTGATCAACTAGTTGTTTCCATCCCCATCTTAAGCATGAGTATGACCATCTTGTTTCCAGGCTCAGTGTACTTTTACTTTTGCTCATAAGTAAGCGCTGGAGTTGGAATTAACTTGCCACGGCAAGAATCAACATGCTATGGTAAGAAATTTTCACAGTTTAGAACTGAGGATGACAATGAGTAAGTGAAACCATTTTATCTGCCTCCCTTAGAAACTGAAATTGACTTAGAAACAACAATTTTCTTATGATAGATCTTGCCAATTAATATGTATTTTAAATTTTATTTAAAGTTGTGCAAGAGTACAAAAAAGTTATTTTAAAATCTTAAGTCTAGTTTTCCATGAAACTAGAACTTTATATAAATTTGTTAATAGTAATAAAAACCATCTTATTTTCAACTAAAATTAAAGATATAGTTTATAAAAAGGAATTAAAAAACATGAGTACTAATAGAGGTTTGCATATTAAAGATAATTTCTTGAACTCTTTAATATAGAAAGATATGTCATACCCATTAAATTATTGACCTAGTTTCAAACACCCATAAGGATTGCTAACAGTCAGTAAAATAGTATTGCACAGAATAGTGTATGCATTCACAACAGAATTTTCATTTTTCTTGAAAAAAATCTACTCACTCATTAATAATATAAACCAAAGTACTGATAATTTCTAATACAACTCCATCTCGTGCTTTTACCATAAAAGGGAAATATTTGTTTCTCTTTATAAGAAATTCCCAATACTTTAATAATTTATTTTCATTGGCATGTGTTCTGACAAGTTTTTATAATGACTTCAAAGAATAAGGATGATATATACATTTAAGATGAAGACACATATATATATACACACATATATTGTTGGGCTAATCACTGATTTATATTTAATGAATGTTTTTCTACAGAAAGATAATGCCTCCTATATGAGACTAAAGTCAAACAATAATTTACTTTAAAAGTATTTATTGTCCCTTATGAATTTATTATTGACTCTTTTTATAGACAAAGGTGGCATTTGGTGCATTATCAATAAGTTATGCATATTTAAAACAATTTTCCAGTGAATTTGTTTTGACTTAAATACGCTACTAATAAACTCTGTCAACTATCTTTCTGGTCAACAACATGTCTGTAAGATTCTTAACTAAAGTTAAATATCCTGTGATTATTAAATAAAAGGTAGGCAACTGGCCCACATGAAATGACCCCACTTGTTCTTGCTATGAAGCTGACATAGGAAACCAAAATTAAGTTAATATGATTATAAATTTAGAAAACTATCATAAAACTATATGGTGACATAAATGAGAACATCTTACCCCAGTGTACATTATCTCTTTATGTAGTTTTCATGTTTATACGATTTTGCACTGTATTACAAAATAATAAGACTCACAGTAGTTCAACAAACGGACAGAGACTCTTAAAGAAACAAATATTTCCCTTTATTTGATTGTATTACATCTACTCATGGGATAGTCATAATAATCAAAATTCTCAATTTACGGCCTATAAATAATGCTATTTAACTGAAAACCAGCCAGCAAATAGTGACGTATAGTTGAAAAGCTTACTCATGGTAAAGTAATTTCCACAGCAACTCAGTTTACTAGAGTATAACAGTAGATTAAGAATTATCAGCCTTTATAAAGCAGAAGAGTAATGCTTGAGAATATTTTATCAACAGTGAGTTTGCCTTACTCCTTTGCCAGCTGCACACTGGTAGGTTTTGCTCCAATAGGTATCCCGTATTTGTGCAAAGTGTTAATTAAAATCTCCCTCATGTCATTGTTGTAGGAATCAAAGTCAAACACATTCCGAACCACACTGGAGAGACCTTCAGTGGGAAATTTCTGTATTAAGAAAAAAATTCCTCATTATGTATGTGATAAAATATACAACATTATAAAGATTTACAAAATTGATAGAACAATAATGATCAAATGCACATTAGCAGAAATTTACTGGCCTTGTCAGATAACCAGGCAGTAGGAATACAGGAATACATTTTTCTCTTTTAATGTTTGCTCAGATGACTTAACAATATATTTCTTTTTTGAATAAATGCTAGAATTTGAGGAGAAACAGCTTCTCTCAAACGTTATAGCAGTGCCTAGATCCTGGCATTCAGTGATTGCCACTGCTTTCTGAAATCTCCTGTCTTTAAAAATATGATTGGCCAATTTAAAGATGTTCGTTAAGCAAAGGAGAGTGTTAAATATATGCACAGAGTATTAATAAAAGCCAAAGGCTATGAATAAATGGAAAAAAAGATAAAGGAAAAAGAAAAGAAGGGAAGAAGAACATAAAAAGTACAGGGAATAGAAAAATAGGGACTAGCAGAGGGAAAGAAAATAAGGATTACTACAGCTAAATTTATACTGGTAGGATCCTCTACCAGTTCTGCTTTGATCTTCTTTAGATGCTGGGATCTTAGCTGGTTGAATTAGACTTACGGTTTCATAGGCAGAATAAAGCTTTCTATTTTTTTTCTTTCCAACTATATATTTTCTAATTGACAAATAATAATTACACACTTATGGGATACAGAGTGATATTTCGATGCACGCATACATGATAGAATGATTAAATCAATCTAATTAACATATCCATCACTTAACATACTTTTTTGTGGTACAAACACAATATACTCTCTTAGTAATTTTGAAATATGCATTACATTATGATTAACAATAGTCACCATGCTGTGCAACAGGCCTCAGTGACTAAAACCCTGTACCCTTTGACTAACATCTCCCCCTCATCCCCCAACTTCCAGACTTTCTGTTTTTCTTTCTAGGGTTTTCTTGGAGCGTTGGGGATGGGGCAGAGATCAAAAGTCATTAGGTTGTGACTGTTAGCCTGAAGACCATTATTTGTTATGAGTAGAATTCACTTTTTTTTTTTTTTTTTTAACCAAGGTGGACTACACATTGCCCATGGTCACAAGACATTTAATTCTTCTGCCTACATACTCTATCTCATAAAACTTTCTTGCAGTATTTACAGGTATATTAATCAATGCTGTTAGTTACTGCTCTGCTTTCTATCTCCATGTCATTTGTTCCAAAATAACAATATTTTCCACCCAGATACCACATGCTTGTAAAAAGCCAAACCACAGAACAGGAAGGTTTCTCCTCTCACTAAACTCTCTTGCCTCACCTTCCCCCTAAATATATCCGTCCACCAAATCTCCTACCTCCTTGGTAATAACCATGGGACAGAACCTTGCCAAAGTTCATTCAAAGGCTAAACAGAGAATTTTCATTGGCCTTCCAGATTTATAACAGATTACAAACACTTCGTATTATGTCATCTGAATCATTATAATATTTATGGAAATTGAAAGACCTGAAAAAAAGAGATTGATGGTTTCTTCTAAATGTCTATGCACAGGTGTGTGCCATACCTGTAAATGTTTTACTATGTTGACAACTTCCCTGGTAGAATAAGGATAGTTAATAATCCCCTGGTCAGCCAAACTCCTCAGCTCTCCAAAGGCAGCCACAAGCTTTTGAAGGATGGGCTCAGGCACATTTGGTCCATACTGTCTGAGCATATTGAGCTCTGAGTGGGGTTTGGGGTTATCAACTGCATGGCAGCTAAAAATATCACCTATAGGAGAGAAAAGATTCACATTCAGCATGCACCTAATCCATTATAATGCCACAGGAAAAAATGGCATGGTTGTTTATAGAGCCATTGGTTGCTCATCAAAGCACAGAACATCCATCCAACAACAGGATGGTACAGAGAAGAAAGCAAATGACTGAAACAAAATAAAAGAAAACTGGGTAACATATGGTCTAGTCCGTATGGATTTATTTTTGTTAACAAATTTATATAATACTTGAATACATGCTTACAGGGAGATATTCCAATATGAAGAGAAAAAGGGAAAGTCTCCTTTATATCTCTGCCAATGCCACTCACACCCCAAAGGCATCCAGTTTTAACAGTTCAGTGCATATTTTTCCAGATCTGTATTAGTACTTTTAAAAAATGCATATATAAAAACAGATATAGCTTAGTTGATTTATTCATTTTCCATTAATGGAAATACACTCTTCATATGGTTCTGAAACTGCCTTTTTAACCTTAACAAATGTTAAAAATTTTCAAAAATTATATACATCTATCTCATATAAATGCTTATAGATGTATACTCGAAAGGGGGGAATTGGTATTATCACTCTCTAAACAATTTATATCTTGTGCAGATTGCTAGAATATACTTTAAAGGTTAGTTTTAGAAAAGTAAACCTGTAGAGATACTGTCTACATTAAAATCAAGAAAAGGAATGTGGTAACATAATATTTCATCTGTAATCTAAGCAACTGGGAATGTACTAACAGATTTATAACAGATTACAAATACTTCATATCATGTCATCTGACTCATTATAATATTTATGGAAATTGAAAGACCTGAAAAAAAGAGATTGATGGTTTCTTCTAGATGTCTATGCACAGGTGTGTGCCATACCTGTAAATGTTTTACTATGTTGACAAATTCCCTGGTAGAATAAGGATAGTTAATAATCTCCTGGTCGGCCAAACTCCTCAGAAAAACAATCTATGCTCAAAAGGAATGAATTTCCCATGTTAAAAGTATAAGTCTCCTGATTCATATAATGCTATTGATTCATAATCTAAGAGACCAATACATTCTAATCTAATTTACTTTCGAAGGAAGTGAAAGTAAATAGACTTACATTATTTAATATGCTCATTTTAGAAAATGAGCACGTGTAGTCAAGTAGCAACAAGATCTTACTTTGGTTTAGAAGCCATTTAAACAAACAGTTGTTGATGTGTTTGTATGTGTTTATGCATGTATGTATTTAAAAGTAACTGAATAAAATGAAAAGCCATAACTAAAAACTTTCATTTCCTAGACTATAGCTTTTCAAATACAAATGTGAAGAAAAGCTTTTGCCTTTTTTTGCTGAAAATGAAATTTAACACTAATATAAAAAGTTAACTGGGAGAGGGGGCATGGGCAATATAAGTAACCTTAACACCTGTACCCCCATAATATGCTAAAATAAAAAATTTTAAAAATAGTTAATTGACCCTTCATTTGTTCATTCATCAAATTATTATTAAATGTCTTCCATGCACCAAGTGCATAGTACCTGCCCCAGTAGGTACTTTATATATATCAATGATCAAAAAAACCAAAATCCTTATCCTCAGGGAGTTTATATTCTGGCATAGGGAGGTAACAAATGATAAATATAAATATTAGAAAGGGTATGTTTCAAAGAAAGAAGAACAAGAAACATGGTATAGGATAGTAGAAATGATGACGTGGGGAAGGGGTGGGGGAGATGAGTCAGGCAGGCCTCACTGCGAAGGTAACATACCTGGGAGTTAAGTGAATGTAGATACCGGGGAGGAGAGAATTCTAGGCAGTGGGTACAGCTAACGCAAACACCCTAAATTAAGGCAAGCATAGCTGGCATGGGGAAGGAAGAGGCAGGAGAGCAGAGTGGCTGCAATAGAATCAGTGATACACAGAGCAGTATAGGACACGAAGTCAGAGAGCGAGGGAGACAAATCATATGGGACATTGTAAACTGTTGGAAATACTTGTGCTTATGCTCAGAGTAAAAAGGGAAGCATGGGAGGATTTTTAACAGAGGATTGGACTGCTGTGTTGAGAACAGACTGCAGAATGTGTTGGAAGACTAATCTGTTGTGAGCAGAGGCACTGACCACATTGACTATCTTTCCAAGGATGTTGTAGAGCAAAGTGCCTTGGAAGATAGAGATTGTCTGTTGTATCTCTCGTCCCTTTTTCTCCCTGGAACAAGATTAAGGCATGCTCACTGATCATTATAAAAGATTTGGGGCCGGGCGCGGTGGCTCACGCCTGTAATCCTAGCTCTCTGGGAGGCCGAGGCGGGCGGATTGCTCGAGGTCAGGAGTTCGAAACCAGCCTGAGCAAGAGCCAGAGACCCCGTGTCTACTCAAAGAAAAATTAGCAGGGGGTAGTGTCCTATACCAGTAGTCCCAGATAATCAGGAGGCTGGGCAGGAGGATCGCTTGAGCCAGGAGTTGAAGGTTGCAGTGAGCTAGGCTGATGTCACTGCACTCTACCCAGGGCAACCAAGTGAGACTCTGTCTCAAAATAACAACAAAACAAAACCAAAGGAGTCTTTCTAAATTACGAAGGTATCCATGCTGCTTTCTGGCTTAAAACTCTTCTATGACTTTCCCCAACTCTTCTTTCCCTTTCAGCCTCAATTCCCAGCGTGCTCTCACTTAATCTTGAGTTGTAGTGACCAAATGACTTGCAGTTCCAAAATGCACCAAGTTTTCTTAAAAGTCCTCCACTTGAAGTATCCTTTCCTCTTTTATTGCCTGGAATGCCTGGTAACATTTGAAAATTCAACTTCTTTAGCTCCACTGACTCTCCCCCTGGGCAGAAGGCAGCAATCCCAACTGTTTGTTCCTCTTATGTAGCTCTAGTTTTTTTTTTTTTTTAGATACTGGGCTCAAGTAATCTTCCCACCTTCTCTTCCTGAGTAGCTGGGACTGCAGGCACCAGCCACTGCACCCATGTACAAGTCACTTTACCTGACAGCTTTCCCAATTGACCATGCCTCCTTGAAGGCAAATATTGAGTCTTCTTCACCTTTATATTTCTTCTCTCTACACAGTGTTACCATTAAGTGCTCAGTAAGTGACTGTTAAATATGAATGCTTGGTCATATTAGAACTGCCAACATTTTGACCTAGTTATTTTCTCATCTTAATGGCAAGCTATAAACTATCATGGTAAATATTCCCATTGCATTCTGACTAGGTGTCCTACTGTTTCCTTCACTTAGAAGACTCTCAACAAATGATGCAGTCTGCTTTGCAGGGATATTTGGAAGAGACAGCTATAGGTGGGAATAGGAGATTTCATCCAGTCAGGTAACAGGCTTTCATAAAAACATTACTTACAATCCGTAAGGATCAAGAATAATTCCAAGACTGCTAAAGATGTATATATGAAAGAGGATTCACAGTTCTTTAAAATTTCTATGTAGATTGAGTATATTTTTATCTTTTTGCATCCCCATAAAGGAGCCAAAAGCAAATGAAATGGCTGGAAAGTTACTTCATAATAAACCAAGAGAATATAAGGAAAAGAGTATGAAAACACAAAAAACCTAACACCACCTTCTGCTAATAATTTGAGATGTCATTATATAGACATTATTTTTGAAAACCAAGAGCTCTTTATGAAGTTAAATCATTATGCAGAGTAGAATTGTAATACTTAGATCTCCATGATCAACATCATTAACTTATTTATAAAGACTATGACTACAAACAGAAATTATAGCATATAATAGTGTAGAAAAATGAAGAAAAAGCTCAAAACTATAGGCAGAGGATATTTTACCTTAATAAGATAAACAGTAAACTGATCATCATTCTGACTTTTTTTTTCCCCCAACAGATTCTCGCTTTGTTGCCCAGGCTAAAGTGAGTCCCGTGGCGTCAGCCTAGCTCACAGCAACCTCAAACTCCTGGCTCAAGCGACCTCCTGCGTCAGCCTCCCGAGTAGCTAGGACTACAGGCATGCACCACCATGCGCCGGCTGATTTTTTCTATATATTTTTAGTTGGCCAATTAATTTCTATTTTAGTAGGACAGGGTCTCACTCTTGCTCAGGCTGGTCTCGAACTCCTGACCTTGAGTGATCTGCCCGCCTCGGCCTCCCAGAGTGCTAGGTTACAGCGGTGAGCACCGCCTGACTTTCAAAGAGAATAGTATTAAAATTATTCCAAAGAGAGACCCTGGCTAGGGATATGCTTTTTGTTCTGTTCTGTTTTCTTTTCTTTTACAAACACTTGTGCTGAGGGCTGACTTTCAATAGGTTGCAGAGAGGGAGCTGATCTGCTACATATGAAACCCTGACCCAGAAGCAGGCTGTCTATGAATGGTTTATTTAGTACCAGGTTTGGGGATGTTCTTTTTGATGACTCTGATACTTGAGGACCTCATAGTTGTTCTCTGTTAGAGAAGCAGCAGCTGCTATTGACAGCCCAATAATACAGAATAAGTCTTTAATACAGAAAACCAAATTCTGGATAGATATCCTTTCAAAGACAAATTGAAAAAGATGAAGCTACTCTGTCTGTAAATATGCACACCTGGCACTGCTCTGAAAAGAAGGATAAATACCAAACATGATCCTGTAACACACACTGACATGAAATGCAAATGAAAACACAATCTCAGTTACCTTCATTGGGAGTACTACTAAAATATGCTGAGAGTGGCAGAAAAAGTAATGAATCATTACTGATATAAGGGAGAAAATTTACTAATCAGCATCCCTGTTCAATTAGGGCCAGTAAATCACAGACTCTATGATGTGGAAGGAACTATGTGAGGATGTTAAAGACTATTTAATTAATTGTTCCAAGTTTGAATCCCCTCAAGTAGCTCCCCAACAAGGTTCGTCCAGATTTGTTTAGATCCAGTCTACAGAAGGTAAACCTTTTTCTCCTGGGTAGTCCATTCCATCTTTGAATATAGGAGCTATTGACCCCAGGAAAAAAATCTAAGTTGTGATCGACTTGGAAGCAACTCACAGTGCACAAGTAATG